CTTCGAATCAGAAGTTCGTTTTTGTCTTAATCTATCAAACTGTTGCATTCATAACAAATCTTTTGAATTTGTGTCGATCCAGCTTTTTTTGTTTTAAATTTTAAATCACAATAACTTATAGTATAAAAAAATCGCGTGGTCATCAAATCATAGAATTTCATATTAATGATAATAATTAATTTTTATAATAATTAATTTAAAAATATATATTTATAAAATATATTCTAATTGATTAATAATGTAAACATTTTTCAGAAGCAATATATCAAAATTATACTCAAATTCAAAACATCTAATAATGAAACAGTTATATGTACTTCAAAACTCACTAAATTATTTATATTAGATATTCAGTGCATTTTTTTATATATAAAATGGTTCTTGTATGAAAATTTATTTTTGAAATATTTTCTAATATTGCCCAAACCAACGTTATACCATTGTAAACGAGAGTTTAATGTGTAATCGAAAGTTGAATATACCTTTTCTATATTGTTTTCAGTCTTTCATCTTTGCAATGTGTTTTGCCTTCTATGGCTAATCTTATATTAAATTGGAACTTACTATTTGCCATTCCCATTAAAGCTATCATAATTGTAGTCCCTATCAATTCAACAAATGGAACCACCATTAATGAACTTTCCTTTTATATATCTTTATAGTTATTTCGACCTAATTAGTAATATATCTTAAAGATTTACCCTTAAAGGCTTAAATCATTTGAAACATACATTTAACTCACAAAAATAGAAAATAATTACTCATAAAATAGAGTAAACCATCCACACATATCCATCCTAATCTATCCTCTACCTACCATATAAAGTAAAATTACACATTATAATTGTTGCTACCTCTTTTTTGCAAACCTAATCCTCAACCCATGCCACCACAAATCCAATTGCAAATTCCATAATCATCCTTGGAGATTATGGCTATTGGCATAATTTTGTGACACTATTGCCTTTGCTTAAAGATGATAAACATGGAGTCTTTGCGTTTAGACCTTAGATGGCTAATAAAACCTGAGTTTGAAGATTTCATTAGGTTGTATTGAAATCCTAAATGTCATAAAAGTCTAATAATGTTAGCACACTTTAGAAATACAGTGGATTATATGAAACTTGCATGTTATATTATTCTATAATTTTTTTTTACGTAAAAATAACTCAAAATATTAGAGTCAAATATAAAGAAAAAATATTAAAACTTTATTTAGAGTCATATTGAAGCACGTTAATTCTTTGTATTGTGCAAAACTAATGATAGCCTTAATGCGTAAATTTAGTAACTTTAATATTAGTTAATTTTAATAACTTTAAGTATTCATTTAATAAATTTAATTTGAATACAGTTCAATAAGAAACTTTTCTGTTATTATTTTGTAATGACCCGTCACATTTTATAACATGGAATAAATTTTATATTTTTCATGCATCACCCATGCTTCGCATTTTTCACTTGTGTTTAATTTTACCCTCTGTCTCTTTCATTATTTTCTCTTGTTTAAAATGTAAAATGAAAATAAATAAAAATAGAAATAAGTGTAAATATTTCATGTAAGTTATAGTATTTTTTTAATTTGATTCTTATATAATAAAAAATTAATCTCTAAATATTTTGAATTAGTCATTGTCTTTTAATACATGTGTGAAATAGAGAAACTAAAATATGAAAAAAAAAAAGCTAGTATAAAAATTAAACATAAATTCATTTATAAATAAATGTCAATTATAAATATTAAATATACATTTTAACATATTATATTTTTTAAAAGAAAATAAGATACTAAATTTGGTTAAGAAAAATACTTATATTATAATTCAATTTTATTTTCATGAATACACTTAATTTTTTACTACAAAAAAATTACCTTTTTTTTTTTACATAATTTTGTTAATTTTAATCCTTAAGTTAAATTTAAACATCTAAAAAAAAAATAAAAAAAAAATGCATTCATCATATTAAAATTATAAAAATGTAATAAATATTTTTTCTTCTTTAATAAAATTTTACTATAATTAGTTATTTAAATTTAGTTAGAGATAAAATTAATATTTTTTATTTTTTTATTTGATCTATTATCGTTCCTTTAAATGAATAAACAAAGTATTAGTATTAACATTTTCATTATACTTTTCATTGGACGTCAATTATTATAGAATATTTTAAAAAAATACTCTTTTTGTTGTAAGAAAGAAAAATTTAAGTTAAATTATATTCTTAATTTCTTAACTTTTGTACTTGCTTGATTTTAATCATCTAATTTTTAATTATGCGATTTTAGTCTCTCTATTTTTTTAGTTGAGTAAATTTTGTTCTTTCATTAAGTTGTTATCCAATTTTTAATGATACAATTTTCTTCTTCCTTTTCTCTCATTAGCCAAAATCTATCATTGCAGATTATGCTTTTTCCTTTCTCCCTACAAACTCTTTTTCTTCTTCTTATATCGTTGTCAACAACCACAACTATATCCCCAAATTGACACTCAGTTGTTTTCTTGTCTTAACCCTCTTTCATATAACTTTGGCCTTCTTTTTCTTATTTCAAGCAGATATAACTTTGACCTTCTTTTTCTTTTTTCAAGCAGTGATGCTTGCAGGCTTGCAACTCATAGCACAAGAACATTGTTTTGTCAAGTCGCAACAAAGATCACAAGTTAGAGACTCTATTTAATGTTGTCAACTTCCTTCTCTTTTTTTAGAGAAAGGTTTAAAGAACCATTATCAAAACTTAACTTTGGACAGCAATTCACAAATAATCATTATCACGAGTGGAGATTAGAGAATCATTCTCTTAAATGTAACACACTTGTATAGCGCGACATTTTAGAGAATTTCTAAATACTCTTTTAAGTTAAAGCAAAATTGCTCCCACATCTCCTATCTAGCATAGTGAAAGGTTGTGTTGTTGTTGATGACCTTAGAATTGGTCGAATTGAATATGATGCTACTAGAAGTATTGTTGTTTAAGTGGATGCGAAAAAATGAAAAATGCACTTGGATAAAATTGCTAAACTTGAGATATTTTCACAGTTGTTGACTAAGAGAAAAAGAAGAAAAGTTATATTAACAATGACAAAGTCTGAGTAAGGGAAGAAGAAGAGCACCATCGGCAATGATAGAATTCAACCAAGGAAAAAGGGGGAAGAAGATTGTATAAACAACATAAAGATTGGATGACAATTTAATAAAAGAATGAAATTTGGTTAATTAAAAAAATAAGAAAACTAAAATCAGACAATTAAAAATTAAAAGAATAAAATCGAACAAATACAATAGTTTGAGGACAAAAATATAATTTTTTCAAAAATTAATTACATTTAGAATACAAAACTACAATGGGTATAAGTTTATTTGAAAATACAATTTTTTAATCTCTTAAAATTTCATAATTTCTCTTTGGTATCTTTTTTTTTTATATTCAAGTCTATTTTTTTTTAATTTCTTGGTAAAAATTAAAATTCACATTTAGTTCTTATAGTTTATACTTATTTATTTATTTTTGCTAAACATCAACATTTTATTAAGGACAAATTTAGAGTACAAAGAGTACTCTAACCTATTATAACTCTAAAGGAAATTAACAATACATGTCAACGGATCATTAATTCAATTTACATATGCAATCGATCTTCCCAAAGGCCTTACTACAGGTCACTTCTAAGAACGATCCTAAATAGAATCAAAAATTTCACTAACATTTAACACATTATTATTAAAGAAAATATTATTCCGCTGAAGCCAAATTATTTATACTACCACAAACCATACCATTACAACTCCCTCTATTTCTTTTTTTCATATTGGATTCCACACATGCTTAGTAATGTTTCGTACAAATTTTCAAGTAAGTATAAATTAACACCAAACCATTCAAACACCATATGTACCACAGTTTCATGGAGACACCGCAATGAAAAAAAAATTCAATATGTCCTCATCTTCAGTATCACACAACCCACAAACTTATAAAGGAATCGTCAATTTACGTTTGGTTAAATTCTAAGCAATAGACACCAAACGAATATCACTACTTCTCTTGACATACTAACCTTCCAAATCTTGTATAAAACCCAACTCCAAACTGCTATTTGTTGTGAAGAAAAGATGAATATAGTAATAAGCGAATTACACACTATATTTCTTATTACCATCATAATTTTACAGTAACATGTCATTCATATTTTCTCTCGACCTCTTACCCTTCATAGTTTTTCACAACTACTGTTATAAATCATCTTCCTATAAAAACAATTGCTTTCTCCAAATAATTTTTCACACCCATTGACTTATTTCCAATCATTCGTAATCCACCACCTGCCATTCTTTATTAGTTGTTACTGAATATAATACTTATTTATAAAGTAGTCAATTAGTTAAAATTTACATTTTAATTTTTAGACAAGAATTTTATTTATTTTTTACATTTTGGTTCTTTCTAGTTAATATTAACACAATTTTAAGTGACAAACATTAATTCATATTTACTCATGTATGAACTAAATTGTAGCAATTTTTTGTGTAAAAATCAAATTAAAAAAAGTGTCAAATATAGACAATTAAGTTTTCATTTAACAATATTTTCATAATAAATTTATATTATTTTTTTTTCTTTTCATTATATTACTCACTCACTTTTTAAAATAATTTTCTTATTTCAAATTTATTATACTATTAGCATTTCTCTTTTATTTATTTATTTTTTTTTGTAAAAGACTCTATTAACTATTATAACGACTTATACGCCAAGGCGTCTTCATTGAACTGAAAGACAAAAGACAGTGAAAAACTAGGCAACAAAGGGAAAAAAAAAAAAAAAAAAAAAAAAACTAAAGTATTTAAACAAAATTTTTAAAAGTGCTCCGACCAAACTAAAATTTAAATACTTGTTTTTACATATAATTTAACTGCACAATTGATTCAATAATTAAATACAAACCTCAAATTTTATTTTATTTATTTAATGCATATAAGAATTTTGGATGGTGAAATATTTTATTCAAGTCCGTATGCAGGGAACCCAGATTGTAATTTGAGCGACTATTCACTTCAACTACATGGTTGGGACGTCGTTCACATCTAAAATAACACAACCTGAATCGCGTATCCATTTTGAGGCATCCGTGTTTACTTTGTCCTTAAAAAACCGATTTTCGCTCAGAGAGCGATAGAAACAAATTTAAATTCGTGGCTCTAATGGCGACAATGAGAAAAGCTGCGATGAACCTCTACCGAGTGATCAACTATAACAAAGCCACCGTCGCTGCTTCCACAAACCCCCTTCTCACTCTCAGGTACCCTTCAATTACACCTTCACTTCTTCATTTCCCTTTTCTCTTTTTTCCTAACTGAAGAACTTAGGGTGATTTCTATTAATCAGAAAATTGAATAATACAATTGCTAAATAGATTTCTAGAACAGAGGAGAGATTCTCTATACAACAGAATCTAACACAATAAATGGATAATAATAGATACCGCTGTCTACTAACTTTGATTATATCCTTGACACTAACAAAGTTTATCGTTTTTTGCAGACCTCTTTTTTGTTATTCCATGTTTACCCCTTTCACATCCCACACTCGAACTCAATCCCTAGAAATTGATTTATCTAACGAAGAAAGCAAAAGGCGCTTGTTTAACAGGTTCGTAAAACCTTTCACATTTTGATTTCATTTTCTGTGGTAAAACTGTTATTTATTTGTTTGATTTCTCAACAGGCTATTATATAGAAGCAAACAACGAGGGTTTCTGGAACTCGATTTGGTTCTCGGTAAATGGGTTGAGGATAACATCCACTCGTTGGATGAAAATAAAATTAAAGCGCTTGTTCATGTTCTCGACCTGGTATGTTCATCTTTATTAGATAATACATAAAGTATTGCCTTCAATAGCTGTATTTTGCAGTTTCTGTATTCAGTTAGAGGTCTCTTATTAGTGAGTATAACAGTTAAAGTTAGTCTTGGTTTGTATCTTCTGTTGTTGATGTTTCATTCTGTGTATAAACAATCAATCTGATCAATCAAGATCAGAATAACTGTTACAGTCTCTTTCAATAAGTATTCACTCATCATCTTTTCATTAGAAGCTTTCTGTTACAATCGTCACATTATAATGATTGATTGCATAGATTTGGGTTCATATTAGTTTTTAAAAATTCAAATAATCATATCCCTTTTGAAGTTAGAACTTCCCCTTCTGCTCTGTTTATGATTTATAACATATTGAACAATTGAATGCCACTATCTACGATAGCATAATTCTAGAAGATGTCTACTGTCTTTTCCCTTTAAACGAATGGAAGTTCTCAATAAATGACTTTTATGATCTTTAAAAATTGTGAAAAATAATGTTCATGTTCACTGACAGATTGTATAAGGTTGCTTTAGAGCTTATTCCACTTTGATCATTTAGACAAGTTTGTTTTGCTCAATGATATTTATTGTTGAACTTCATCTAGAAAAGGCAGGCCAGGAATAGGATACAGTTATCTGATTTGAGACTTGGGAGGATGACCCAAATTCAGTTAACTGGCACCACAAAAGATGGAACTTTTAAATTGAAAGGCAAGGGCTATTTGGTTTAGAATTACTAGTTTTGTGTTTGGTTACCCGTTGGGAAGCCGTTACATGTGTTCCAAGAGAAAAAAAAAATGTGAAAGGAAAATATATTTGCATTGAACAAACATCCATTAAAGCACTATTTAAATAGAAAACCAAGCACACACTTAGTATGATTGTGATGCTTTAGGGAAGATTTTTAATTATATATAAAACCTAATCCATAATGTCTTAAATTTGGGAATTGATATGAATTTGGCAACAGGAATTTAAGTGGTTCTAGACATGAGTTTCTATTCTTTTAAATGAAAAGGATTTCATTGATTAATTCATTTGTATATAGGGCCAGAAATTTTTTCAACAGCAATACTTGAATCAGTTTAATTTATTTGTTAACCATTGATCTGTACCTCCTTTAAGAGAGGATAACCCAAATTTAGGATCTTTGAATGGAAAAAGCATCTTCTACTCTTCTCGTTTATGCATTGGAAAGGTTGCAATGGTGATTTGCATCATTGCTAATTGTTGAAATATAGTAGATCACATGTAGTGGGGCTGGAACTTTTCAACTTTTGCTCGTTTGTGGTCAACTAGATTTGAGTTTGTAAATTTAGAAGGCTGGGTGAAAAATCATGTTTGTGTAATGCTTTTGTTAGAGGATTTACTTTGCCATGCTCTGATGGAAAATGACAATGGGATAGTAACTAGATACTAAAGATGTAGTTCTGTTGATTGACTTGAGTCACTTCAAAATTCTATTCCTGCTATGCAGGAGAATCCAGATTTATGGAAGTGGATATCGGGGCAGGAACAACCCCCAGAATCAGTCAGTAAAAACCCAGTGAGTTCGTTTTATTAATTAAATGATGCAATTCCAATATGGTTATTAGGTTGATTTTGTTTTTCCTTTGGGTACAATTCTCATGTTAGTCATCTATTGCTTAGGTCTTTGCTGCAGTGCACGGAAGAGTTATGAAAAACCTTGATAGCCATTCTGCTCCTGAAGCAAGAGCAACACCTGGCCAACCATGGGTAAGAGGCTGGGACGATATTAAGAAAGGGCGAGACGGTCCTGTTTCTGGAAATCAGTAGCTTGAGATTATCATCTGTAAACAATGAACAAAATCTGGTCCATGATTTTTGTCACTATAAATGACTAAAATAAGGGCTGCGTAACTGCAACTTAGAGGTTTGTCTTACCAACAATAAATCAGTGAAATGGGTCTAAATTGGAAGATTGCGACTTCCTAAGAATCTTTACTCTGCGTCAGTTTATCTATTTTATATATATTAAGTTTATTGTTGAGTGATTGTTAATATATTGTATTTTTTTTTCTTTAGTTTCTTTTCTTTTGGCCATGGGAGTCTGGGACATATACTGGAGTTTGATTTAAATATGTTTTAATTGCTGTTAAGTATTGTAAGATTTTGATTTTAGTCATTCAAAATTTTTATCTTATGGTTTTAGTCCTTATTTTTTAAAATTTGACATTTTTGTTCCTTGGTGATAACATGATACAACAAAAAATTTGATACGACAATATTTTAGTTAGTCACATTATCACTAGCGAATAAAAGTGTTTAATTTAGAAAAATAAAAAACTAAAAGATATATATTTTTTACTAAAATTAAAGTATTGTAAAAATGTAGACACCGTGAGAAACTCATTTTAATATTTCGGTATCCAGTAAAAATGGAAGGGTACAAGGATGGCGTCGCCTGTTTGTGGCAAGGAATTCTCTTCAGTTCAGTTTAAATTTTTATTGAATAAATTTAAAAGAATTGAATAAATTAGCAGGAAAAAGTTGTAAATAGCTGAGATTGCTTGTAATTCAAAATGCACGGAGTGTTATAATCTATGCTTTTTCCAACTAACTTGTTCTAAGTTCATTTAATTGGGAACAAACAAATGTCTTACAGTGTCATAGAAATCAACAAGGCCAATACATGAGTATATAATTATACGATTAAGCTATTTGAGAAATTAGTATAATTCAATCAATTTTTTAAATGTTTTCTTTAATAAAATACTTATATTTGTGGGGAAAAAAAAGTTATATAATTTTATTTTCTAATAATCAGTAAAATTTTGATAATTTTTGTTTAATTATAAAGAATTATTTAAAAATACTAATGGTTCTCTGTCGTGGATAGATGCTTTTGCCCGTTCTCGACTAGGTTATGACATATCTGATACCATAGTAAGATTATAGCCAAAAGCCTTGTCTGTTATATTATATAGTCATGGAATATATACACTTTACACTCCTAACATATATCCTAATGATATCCCTGTAATCGAGCCTATGTATAGCTGTCATCTCTTCCTAATATTTGGTTATAAAATATATACAACAAATCTATCGATCTATGTTGGTTGATTTCTGCCTTTAATAATTAATATTGTTATCGTCTTCTTTTTTTTTAATAATTATATACTTTTATAAAGTGTATATATATATATATATATATATATATATATATATTATTTTTCCTTCGTTAGATGACTTATTATTCACCTACTTTTTTTTTCTCTTTTAATCTTTCAAATTATAAAATAATATTTTTATAATAAAATAAAATTTCATAATAAATGTGGATGAGCAGTGAATATTAAATTTCATTCATTTATATTCTTTTTGTAAAAAAATTGTTAATAACGTAATTTCTAATATACTCTTTTTAACGAATTATTAGTTATTAAATGAAATTTATTTTAAAAAAACTATAAAAGTGTAATAGAAACTTAAATATAAGAATAAAAAAAGTAAAACTCATTTAATGTTTTAATTTTAAATAAATTTTAACTAATAATTAAAAATAAGTTAAGAAAAATACCTTGAAGAGTGTATGACTTTCATTATTTTTTTTAATTACTTACTAAATTTTAAAGAATCTTTGTTTAGTAAGTGTGACGGACCAAGTTGAGATGTGAGAGATCTCACCTAAATTATGACTTATTTATTTTTAATATTTTAAAAAATAAATTTTTAAAATAATATTTTTTAAAAACATATTACATGTATAAGGTCTTTTGTCATATTAGTATCAGTTTCGTTTATGACATAAAAAAAAAAAGTTTACTTTTAATTAAATTTTATTTTTAACAGAGACAAAATTATAAGATTGCATTATGTGTCATAATCTAATAAGTTTTCTCTGTTGCATAAATGAAATTAATAAAATTGTATCTTGTTGATCCAATTTACAAAAATAATTTTAAAAAAAAAGTGTCTTTTGGAGGAGAACTTCACAAATAACATTTCTATAATTTTTAAGAAATAAAGAAGCTGAGTATTATTATTTATTCCAACACACATTTGTTCTAAGTTATTGTATAAAAAATTAGTCTATTTTCAAAGACTCTTCACTCTTTTCACCTAATTTAACTCTCCTATTCTCCAAATCTCATTATTACTTTATTCTTTGCTCCTCTAACTTCATTCTCACTTTCTCTATCTTCATGTTAATTTTAAATAAGTCTAATATATAATTTTAAAAATAAATAAAAATAATAAGTTTTGTCTCTCCTACTTATAAAACTTAAAAACAAAAAACAAAAATAAGTTTATACTAATAAAAAAATTATCAGTTAGATTGGGATGACATGTGCCTTAATCTAGTTAATTTTATTTATACACAAATGATATTTACCTGATGGCTCGTGCCCCAATTTCATAAGTTTATTTATGTTGAAGATGAAATTTAATTAAAAAATTATTTTTTTATAGAGTGGATAAAACGTGCTTACGTGATAAAAGACAAGAGATAGACAATATGTTTTCAAAAGATATTATTTTAAGAATTTATTTTTTTAAAAATATTAAAAGAATAAATAAGCCCCTGAATTACATTAAAATAATAATAATAAACATGACATTCTTTATTTGTTTATTTTCCCGATGATCTTATCAATATTCATGCAGGAATGGCCGTAAAAGAAGCAATATGTGTGTTAGTGTTGGTGATCCTTCTGCTCTCACATTCAAATTCAATGGCGAAAGAGGAGCCAATTCCAGCTGATTGGCCGCATCAATTCCACGCGTTGATGTTCATGAACAGAAGCGGAACTCTCCAGAAGCTAGACTTGTGGTACGATTGGCCCAACGGTCGCAACTTCAACATAATCCAGAATCAACTAGACGACGTCGTCACATACGACCTTGAATGGAACAACGGCACCTCCTTCATCTACACTCTCGATCCCTCTAAGAAGGAGTGCCAAGTCTTGCACGTAGAAGTCGGTATTCTCCGCCCCAATTGGCTCGACGGTGCTACCTATTTGGGTCAGCAAAATGTTGATAATTTCCTCTGCAATGTGTGGGAGAAGGTTGATTTCATTTGGTACTACGAGGATGTCCTTACTCAAAGACCCGTTAAGTGGGTCTTCTACTCAGGTTTATTTACCCACCATCCTCTTTTTTCTTCCCATTTTTAATCTTACATTTTTTATGCCTAGGGTTTATTTGCGAGTAAGGGGATCAAATTAGTTCTTTTAATGACCATGACATCTTAGTCCCTGATGTTAAAAAAAAAAAATTATTTTAGTTTTTTTATTTAAGTAAAAAAGGACTATGAAAATGAATTTGAATTCCTGATGCGGAATATTAGAGAGAAAAATGCTTAATGTTTATTAAATTTGATCAGTGGGTCGTATAACTAATCATAGTATATCTTTATTGAATAAATTTTTTTTTTTTCTCTCTATCACGACCACATTATGTTATTTAAGAGTATGAGGGGATCCAAATTATATGAAAAGTAAAATAGAAGAGGAAATAAAGACAGTTTATAGAATTTGGGACTAATCGAAAGTTTTTTAAACTGTTAGGCATGTATAATCTCCAAAACTATTTTAGGGATTTACTGTTTTATTTGTATATTCCATCATGGCTGAGATTTACATTGAATGGAATGAAGCAAGAAAAAAAATTTGTTGTTTGAAATTTGGCCGTGACTGCAGGATATACTGCTCATGTGATGACATTTGAGGTTGGAGCAGTGCTAGAGGATCCAAATTGGCAGGCTCCTGTGTACTGTTTTAATGAGAATGAGAAGGAAAGGGGTGCCTCCCTATTAGAGCCTGCTGTTCATGGTGATTCTCTCAGGAGGTTGAGGAGAGGAATAGCCAATACAACAGATGCATTGTAATTATGAAATGACTCATGCACTTTTTGTTGTGTAAGTCTAATCTATGTCTGTTTTGGTTGGGGACATGAATAATTGTTTAATTCAGCAAAATGTTTGCATGAACTTGCCATCAGAATCTTGTTGGACGCTGCAGCATAATTTTGAGCTAACCATTTTTCATCCTAGCAGATAAATTAATATGTCATCGCAGCTCAGCTCAGCTCATCTTAGGAATTTGGAAAACAATGAAATGTAAATTGTCTTTTAAGTAGAACAGAATTAAAGTGGTGGAAGAAGTGGCATGTTTTATTACTCTAACAGCAACACTCTCGTAACAGAGCTTAATTCAATTAATTGGTTGGTTGATTATGCAAGTGGTAACCATGCTTGTTTGTAGATAAGGTGTTTACTTAATGGCTGAAACACTGACGATTTACTTATTTAGAGAAGGCACTGCTCTTGAGATAATACATGGGTAAGGGTGTAAGAGGTTGGCATGATCTCAAAAGAAAGGCTTGGACGGTTTGCTATCAGTAAATCAGTAGCTTGGGATTGATCAATCTCATAATTTGTAACAATGAACAAATATCTAAATTATATAAAATTTATTATAAGTGATGATAGAAATAAGAGTTGATTTAATGGTTAGATTGATCAATTTTGCATTTCATGAGAAGTTATTAAATTTAAGTGTTGAATTTGATATTCCAATTATATATAAGTGTGTGTGTATATATATATATATATACGAGTTTTTTATGTGTATATTTGATATTTTTAATTTCATATAAAGAAACTTGATTTTTGTTTTGAAAGATAAACTAATATTTTAATGTTTCAATTTTATTTTTTTGATCATTTGTTTATTTTATTCTAGTTCTCAGAAATTTTTTTTATTTCAATTTAATTTCTTAACCTTTTTTGTTTTATAATTTTTAAATTTAAGTAAATAAATTTTTTTATATACCTTTAACTATATCAATCAAATAAGAGCACGATCATGATAACAATGATAATAATTATACAAACAAAGAAGAAGAAATAATTAACAAAGTTAAGGATAATATAATTAATGAAAAAGAATTTACTAGATGTTTTAAAATTATAAAAAATAATACTTTTGGTTGTATTAAAAAAAATTTAGAGAGGAAGAGAGAAAGAAAGAAAATACAATTCTTTAACATTAGTTTTTAAAATTAATTTTAAGCATCTAATTATAATAACATTTTATTTTAAAAAGTATTTATTATATTCTAAAGGCTAATTGTGATATCTTCTTAATAATATTAATATTACAATAATAATTGACTACAATTAGTAGTTTAGAAAAGTTGTTTTAAGAGTTGATACATCTCTTAGTGTAAAGATGTCAAAAAGTCCAACTGACTCAGTTCTAATTCTAGCTTATATAGGTTAGAGCCAAAAAGTTCTGTGGGTTAAAAAGCCCAATAAATCAAAAGTCCTATGGGTCAAAAAGCTTATAAGGATAGGGTTAGGGTTAGGGCTTTAAGAGTCAAAAAAATTTAGCAAATACAAATTTCTAATTCAATTTTAATTTCATTCTTAACTATCAATCATATTAAAACAACAGTTACACTCTCTTAAAAAGCAACCTTGAGAATTTCTATTAACAATTAAACATGCAAGATACAACCAAATATTTTGTAAGCAATTAAACATCAGTATAGTAACATAATTTCTATAAATAATTTAAATTTACATAAAATCATTTATAACAAAAGAAAGTCAGTCCAAGTGCAAATAGAACTAATCTCAATAGCTCCTTTGTCTTTTCAGCACAGTAAAAAAGAAGATAACAACAAAATTCACAAAGCCAATGTACCAATTGTTAAGTGTCATTCACCTCTGTCATTTTCTCTCTGAAAGAAACAAAAATAAGATGATAAAACAACTAGTAAAAAAAAATTAACATATTAATTCTTAATAGATTCATACTTCACCTGCTTGTTACTCTTCAACATCTTATTGCATAGTAGACTCTAGTATTTTTGTTTCATAATTATCTAAACTCAAGCAATAAAAATATAATTATGTTTGTACAAATTATATAATAATCATAAAAGGTGGTTAGAATAAATATTACCGCTTAGACTTTCTAACAGTGTAGAGCTTCTATATTTAGTGAGAACACGTCTACCAAAGCTAAAAGCATATTCTGATGCCACTGTAGTGATTGGAATGCTAAGTACATCTCGTGCTAGTATAGAGAGTGTTGGAAATCTCTTTTAATTATTCTTCTAATAATGAAGCACATCAAATTCTTTAGTATCATCATAATCAACTTGTGACTCATATAAATACAAATTCAATTCACTCTTACCAATGGTAGACTTAGTTTCATTTTGAAACATTTTAAACTCCTGCAAAATATAACATAATAACTCTTTAAACAAGCAAAAATAAGAAAAACATAATTAAAATGTTTCAAACCCTAAACCCTAAACCATAATTAAAATGATATAAAAGAACATACATTGAACAATCTTGATTTCTTTGACCTATTTTCATCTCCATGTGACTTTGACAACAAATTGGATTCATTGGAAGGTTGAGAGCCACTTGTAGCATTAAACTGTTTACATATTCTCCAAAAAGTTTATCAAACTTATCCTTCACATTGTTAACCTTCTCATGAGAGGTTAAAGGATCAAGCTTGGTGTAGCAGAATTTTAAAAAATCAAGTTTCAAACGAGGGTCAAGAATAGATCCAAAAGCTAACAACACACATAACAAGAACCAGAAACCATATTTGTAGTCTCATAAAATAGCTCTAAAAATTCACATAATTACTTTCCTTTCTTTCATTCCTCATATGATAGACAATATTTATAATTCCTATCAACCACTTGAAGAATATCAAAAGCTTTTTCATACTTGATTGCACTCTCAAGCATTGAGTATGTCAAATTCTACCTAGTAGAAACATCTAATCTTAACCCAATTGTTGTGTCTATTCCAGCAGCTTATATACAATCTTGAAATTTAACCATCCTTCCATTGGATCCTCTTACATACTTAACACTCTCTCTAATTTTAAAAAAGTATTTCATTAGCTACTTTTAGACTTTCTTGTACAATCAAATTAAGTATATAAGCAGAATAACACACATGAAAAAATTCTCCATCACACAACAAACTATTTTGCACACAAAAATAATTTTTTAAAATATCTTACATATTGTCATTGGCAGAAGCATTATCTAAAGTAATAGAAATTTTCTTTTTATCAATTCTTCATTGCTTCAAACAATCAAATAAAGTGGCTTCTAATTCAACTCTAATATGAGGTAGTTTTATTCAACAAAAATTAAGAATCTTACTTAATAATCTCCAATTCTTATCAACAAAATGAACAGTTATGCAAATATAACCCTCACTTGTAGCTGCTATCCAAACATTAGAGGTAAGACATACTCTATTAGGAATATTACACATGACTTATTCGAGTTTTTCCTTCTCTCTCATGTAATTTTTTTTAACATCTGACACAACAGTATTCCTAAAAGGTATTATAACATTAGGATTCACATAATTGATCCACTCTCTGGTCATATCATACTCTGCAAAGTTGAAAGGAAAATCATGTTTGATTATGGCTTGTGCAAGAATATTACATTGAGTCTTTTGGTTAATGTTTCTCACACTAAAATTTACATATTGAGTAGGAATTGCATCTACACTTGAACTTTGAATGTTTTTACAAACTGAAACATGTCGACTTAAATGTGAAGTTCCATAATAATTTTTTGTCTTAGGATTTTTTTTAATAGCATAATCATGGCCACAATATTTGCACACAACTCTTTCAACTCCATCCTTATCTACACCAATTTTGTTAAAATATTTTTAAATATTTGAAAATTGTTTTTTAAGTCTTTCGACACTTCCAGATAATACAGGAGGAGTTTCAGAAACAACTTCAGTATCTATATTCACAGTCTTATTCATAGAAACTATAATATAATTATAGTTCCTATGCATTAAAACAAACATAAGATAAAAATTAGAACAAACACATTTAAGTATTATTTGATAAATGTATTAAAGCAAAATATATTATAAAAACTATATCAGCAAACTATTATTTTATGAAATTACTAAATTCTGCTAAATCTATTAGCAATTTAAAGTAATATTCTATTAGCAAATTCTTCCAAAATAGACACATGAGTAACCACAAAAGTCAAAATATAAAGGTATCTTGATTAAGGCTTTGGTATAAAATTTGAAGAATATACACAAAAACACTAAACTAACCTGAGAATTACTAAAATCGAATAGCAAATTGCAGCAGAAGTAATGATTATATGAAGTAGAACAACAACTTGCAATATTAAAGTCAATATGATATTATCATGTATGTAAATATTGAACAAAAACCTGCAAAAGTAAGACTGCAAGCAAAGCACAACAAATCATCTTATTTTATATCTTTATTTTTACTATTTCTTACTTTGTTGTATAAGAATTATACAAATTATTGCACAAGCTTTTGTCTTGATCTTGTGATACTGCTGCACACCTAGCTGTACATGTTCTTCAACAAGTCATACTGCCAAATGGCATGTGTATCCATATCCATTCAGGTGGGGCAACAAATTGGGGGAAAACTTATCAAAAAGACTTAAAAATTGGGTAGGAGGTTTCAAGCCTATTGGAAATACATCTGCTGCTAGCAATGGCCAATATTCTGATATGAAAAAAATGGAGAAAGAAAAGAAAATGTGTGTATATTTTTCGGTGCACCAAGAATACAAAAAATAAGAAGACTATATCACAAACTTTTAAGAGAGATTCTATGAGCCAGTTTCTTTGACTGATTTGATTACAGCTGCTATTGTTAAAAAGGCTTATAGGAAAGCTACATTGTGCATTCATCCTGATAAAGTACAGCAAAATGACGTGCATGTATAAAGATGGACATCATATCTTGTCATCTAAAATGATATCTTTATTATGAAGCAATGATTTTTAATTTTGTATCATGATCTCCTGGGTTATTTTCTATCTTATCTGTTTTGAAACGGTGTATATATAAAATAGAAAAATATAATTCTTAATTTGATTTGATTAAACCAAAGTTACCTTTGTCAGTTTTTTTTTTCTTTAATCTCAACATAGTGTTATATTTTTCGTACTAGTTGTATATGACATCTTGACAACTCAAAAATTGAATGAAGAATTTGGAAAGAGAAATAATAGTGACACATTTCTAATTTATAACAGGAGGCATAGAATAAGTTCAGTTCAGAGGAGCTTTTCTAATTTCAAATGAACTTAACCACTTAACCAATTAAGATAATAATAATATAACTTTAGCACAGACAAGGACTACAAATACAACAATAGAACACAGTCATTAAACGAAATTCCCTCATAATCCAGTATAGCGATAATCACATAATAATTCTAAACAATGTTACAATGTCTTCCCCCTTGGTGAAGACTTTCCATCTCCTTGAAAAGCATTTTAAAACACAACTTTGACGAGCACCCAGGCAACAAACAAGCATAAAAAACAAGATTCACGATGATTCGACCTTCAATCCTCAAATCCTTTTGCTCAAAGAGCCAAATTTGAATGCGTGCTTTCTGCGCAAGTTACAATTAGAGTAAGAAAAGCAAGTTACAA